ACATGTTTCTACGACATTAACGAGAGAGTTACCTTTCTTGAGGAGAGGGCAATCGACCTTCCAGTGTCCTGACTTATTGCACTTGTGGCATCTTCCTTTCGGTTTCTTTGCCACAGCCTGAGGGGTCGGTCGTGGGTAAACCGGAGCATCCTGTGCCTTCGCCTTTCCTGCAGACTTCTTTCTCTTCCTGCCCTTGTGAGGCCTGGAAGGTCCAGCCTGCTCGGCGACTAGCACCTGAGGTGCTTGAGTGAATAAGGCCTCCGCCGACTGAAGCTCTGCAAGCAGTTCTGGAAGAGCCATATGCATCTTGTGCATGTTGTAGTTCAACCGGAACTGATCAAAGCTCTTCGGCAGAGATTGGAGCATAATATCAACCTGGGTTTCCCCGTCAATATAACCTCCCATAACCTCAAGCTCATTGAGCTGCGCCATAACCCTGAGAGCGTGCTCCCTTACGGGTGTGCCCTCGGCCATGCGCGTACTCATCAGAGCACTCAAAGCCTCTTGCCTAGCAGCCCTAGACTGATGTCCGAACAGATCCCTGAGATTGAGAAGTATATCTGCTGCAGTGTCCTTAGACTGATGCTGATGTTGAAGAACATTCGACATAGAAGCCAGAATGTAACACTTCGCCATCTCATCAGCCTTCTTCCACCGAGCATACTCCTCTTTCTCCTGCTCAGGAGCATCAGCCGCCGGCACCGCCGGGCAAGCATCAGTGATAGCAAACTTATAACCCTCAGCAGTCAACACTATGTCTAAGTTCCTCTTCCAATCAATGTAATTAGGACCAGTAAGCTGATTTTCTTTTAGAATGACAGACAACGGATTGAACGACATGATGAATATCCTGAGAATCATGCAAATAAATTTTACAGATTAAACACTTTTGAATTTAACTGTTAATATTGATATCCTCAAAACAACATTAACTTAAATCCACCGACATCTATTACACCTTGTGAGAATGCATGCTACGAGGGTCGCCCTACAAACTCGCATTTTGTAAGAGAAGGGCTTTTCTAAGGCCCATTAATTTCCATAAGTCAAAACCAAATTCATGACGAACGAAATTAATAGTCGGTCTCCATTTGGCCATGCAATAGAATTCAGGGACCCCGAGGGGGGTTAATAAATTTAATCGCATTCTAAGTGAATCCCATTTCTCGGTCCTAAGGTCGTCAAATTTGATTATACGTCATCCGAGGGGAAGCCCGTACGCTCTCATAAGATTTCCTCTAACCGTCTACTTTTAGAAATTTGTCCTGGTAATTTCCTACAATTAATTTTAGCAATGTCACCCGAGGGGGAGCCCATAACCGCAATTAATTGATTTACCGACAAATTAGAAATGGAGGCCTTAGGAATTTTACAATTAACTTTAATTTAAAATCCCTTCTCAAACTTAGTATAATTTAATGAGGATTTTTAACTATTTATACAATTCCAAATTAATCTATGTTAATGCAATAATTAATTAACATGCATATTAATTCATGCAATTCTAAATTAATCTATGTCAATGCAATAATTAATTAACATGTTCAATAATTTATGCAATTCTAAATTAATCCATGCCAGTGCAATAATTAATTACATGCATAATTTATTGACACAATTCTAAATTAATTCTATGCATTACATAATTAATTAACATGCATAATTAATCTAGCAATACTAAATTAATCCCATGCAAGAACATAATTAATTAACATGCATAAATAATAATTTAATGGCATAATAAATTTAATTAAATAAATAAATAAATCCACTATTATGGCCATTAAATATTGAGTCTCCTTAAACAAGGAAACTGTGACAGTTCTTTTCCCTGTTCAACTGGAACTCCTTTAAGCAGTAGAATCCTGGTTGATCTTGTACTGCTTGGACAAGAAGGCAAAACCTCTCCACCTCCTGCAGCCAACCGCCGACTGCCGCCTGGCTGCCGCCCGGCCGCCGGCCGCCGCCGCCAGTGGTCGGAAAAACGCGCCGTTTCCTTTTTTTTTTTTTAATTCTTCGAGGCTCGTTGATCTCTTGTGATCTCCCGGTTATCAACACACGATCACAACACGAAAAATATAATTTACAAAATTACATAATTCGATCCTAGATCCAACGAATGGATGTACATGTTTTCTAAACAAATAATTAAATCTATCCGGTCAACCCCCGGGCGAATAATTATTACAAACATTCATCCATAAATTCCTCGACATGCCCGAGGCTTTAAAAACAAATTTAAAACCATACATCACATTCAACAACATTCATCAAACACATAATCGGCCATAATAGTGGATTAACTATTTTCCTGCAAAACCGAGTTATGCAAATATAATCCAATATATGGCTGCGTTTGAACACATCTTGTCAAATAAAGCCGTAAAAATTCGAACTTTGTACAAAACGAATTAACCAAGTGCTCTGATACCACTTGTTGGGATCTGTGAGGATCTCGTTATGTACAAATCACGAATTCAATAGCAAACGTAAACCTATGCGCAGCGGATCTAAAGGTTTGACGTAGAGAACTTACGGCTTAAAATTTATGTAGATCTGGTTGACCACGAACGGTTGACCGCAATTGATTGACCGCAACACGCGTCTTGGGTTGCACGAACAAGATCAGATCAAAACTGGATCAAACGGATGCAAACAGATCAAAACGAAATTTTGCTGCCAGACACCTTCCGGCGGCGCGTGAGGGCGCGTGCGGCGTCGGATTCCGGCGACGTCGGCGGCGATGGAAAGCTCTCGTCGAGACGGTCGTCTGGGTATACTGTACGTCTCAATCGGACTTCCGGTTAGTTCTGTAGGTCAAAATCAATTTCGTCTCGGTTTACCTACAGATCTTCTACTGTATTACTCAATACACCCTTCTTCAACTTGTACCAGTGGAGCAACAAGAAGAAGATAAAGCTCGAATGAGATCTAGAGAGAGAGGCGTGTTTCACGTGAGAATGAATTCTATTCTCTTCTCATGAGCTTAATGATGTATATATAGAGCTACAGTAGGGACCCTAAGGAGATTAGGAAAAGGGCTCCTTAATTAATTAGACTAACTGTGGGCCAAACCCACTCCTCTAATTAATTAAATAATATTAATGGGCCACCAACATTATATTATTGCACTCCCTTTCCCTAGCCCAAATTACATTTGAGACTCCAATAATAATTACTCGATTTACCTCCCCACGTTTAAGATATAATGTCCATTAATTAATTCGATTACTGACAATCAAGAATTAATTAATTTATTATTATTTCACCGAAGCTAGCGCTCGTTCATCACATTCTTATTATGCCGGAATTTAATCCACCTGCAGGGTTTAGCATAACAATCCTTCATGAACTCACTCCGGGGACATCATCAAACTAACGCACATGGTGACCGTAAATATCCTAACAGCACATCCTATATATAATAATATTACCCAAAACAGTAGGAATATTAATCCAGCGAACTGAACCTCACCCATGTGAATCAAAGTAATATATATTATATATATCTGCCTGTTTAATATCTTACGGGTTAAGAGAACGCAGTAATTAACCGAGGCCTAGTTCATTTACGACGATCAGTATAAAATGAACTTCTCCTCTCTGGGATCCTGTTCAATACATAAATGTACTAGTGCAACTAATCAGTCAAGACAAACTGTACAGTTGACACTACAACCGTTCGGATGGGGTGTTCATGTCCATCTAGGTTGTGAACAACTATTCTTGTTCGCAAGTGACTGATAGAGTGATCTTCGGTTCGCCCGATGACGACCCACCCTATCTAAGTGCAGAACAACAGAACGTAGAACTTGTTTAATCTAACATGATTCTCATTCATAAAGGGTAAATGTGTAATAACATGCAAAGCCAAGCTTTCAGTATATAACACTAACATCGGTTGCCTAACGGTGTCGAACCCCGAACCCCGGAACCACACCAGGCCACCCCGCACCACGGCCACAACACCAGATTGTCCCAAATAGACAAACGAGTGCCGTGGCCCCAGTCCCAACCCCATCACGCTTGGAAGCTGTCCAAAGCCACCGCACCACCGCCTTGCCACTCCCACCATCACTACAGGCAGAAGAAGAAGAACGGCCGCTACGATCCCATCGACCCAAAAGCCGATTAAACTTCGAACAGCAGCAACTCCCAATTAGCTCATGTATTTTATTTTGGTTCATATGTGATTTTTTGGTGTATTTGATTTTTTGTTTTGGGCGTTCATTCCGACAAGAACATCATTTTTTTTGGTTTTGTTCTAAATTGAGTTCAATTCTTCTTGTTGTTTTTTAATTACTTTATTATTTTTTTGTGGTTGTCAAGAGACAAAGTCTTAGTTGTTGTTATGTATTTGTTTTCAACATTTCAATCAACTATGTTTAATTTCTGGAAAAAAAAAAACTACATTTAATATTTTATTGTTAATAGAAAGTTGTTTTCATGTTGCTTCATAGATGTTATAATGTTTTTTTGTTATTGTTACGACACTCACTATCTTGGTTGTTGTTTTCTTAGTTTTATTAATTTATTTTAAGTTACAATAACAAACGTTTGTGCTTTTTTTTTAGTTAATTTAATTATTATGTATGTATATAACCTACTGATTAACAACTAAATCAAACAAGATCCCACTTAATCTTTTAAACGAACAAACGACCATCGCCATAAAAATCAAGAATAAATTGGAAATTATAAATAGTTATTTATGCAAATTATCCAGTTTTTCAGTCTATACAAAATCATGTTACAATTCATTTTCTCTCTTAAATAAATAAACAAATCGGCATTTAGAAAAAAAAAATAAAGTATAAAATGAACAACTGCTATTTTTCTAAAATAAATAAATAATCAGCATTTAGAAAACAAATAAATAAATAAAATATAAAATGAACAACTACTATTTTTCTCTTTGGTTGACGACATTGAATAGTTTTACCACCTATCTAATAATTCGTTAATAGTAATTTTTTTGTATATTTTGTTTTTTATTGCAGGTACTAATTTATTTACATTTTTTGTGCACAATTCTCATTTTATACAATTTTTAGAATCAGTTCTTTGTGAAAAGTAAATAACTATGACTAAGAAACATATTCTGTTAAAATAAATAGAATTAGATGTTTATTTTGTTAATGAAAAAGGTGGTTAATGGAGAGAGAAAGAGGGTGACAGCTTGGGGAAGTTAGTTAAAGGGAATACGGTTGGAGATGAATTAAGATAATTTTGGAATTCTACAATAGGCACTGCTTCTTAAGAATTCAACTTCTTAAAAGAACAGTTATGGATTTTCGCCTGATGGAAGAGCATCGAGGAAATTACAAATTAACTCCGTACGGGCTGTTGCAAAATTAGTCTTACTCGGTGAAAATTAAGTTCCTAACTTTTTTTCGGTGCGAAAGTAGTCCCAAAACCGTCAGCATTAATGGGAGTGTCAAATACGAGTAACGTGACCCTTAGTCGTTAGGTTGAAAAGGGAGAAAATTGCAAATTTAGTCCCATAAGATTGATTGTGTTGCAAATTTAGTCCCAAATGTTGCAAATTCGCGTGCAACTATACACACAAAAATGCAAAAACAAAAAGTTTGCATATAATGTTAAAAAAACCCTTTAAAAATTTATTTCACCAGAATACACCACCATTCTATGAAATCTTTATTGTAAAAAAATAATTTTGAGACGAAAAAAAATAACGATCAAAAGTTCGTGTACAACTTACACGTAAAAATGTGAATATGTAAAAACTCATATATAATGGGGAAAAAATGCCCCTAAAAGACTTTCTTTCACCACAGTATAACAACATTTATGTATATAACAAACTTTGATAGTAAATTTAGTTATGAGATGAAAAATAAAACGACCGAATCAAAGACAGTGAATAGTAGCAAATGCATAAATGCAATAATTAAAAAAACAAATAGTCAAAAATGATAAAGAAAAGCCCCCAAAAAAATTCTTTCGACAATATTCACTACCATATTATTTTTTAACATAATAATAACATAAATTTAAATATATTTGAATTTATATATATCAAACATATTTAACTTTATAATTTTGTTATATTAAAAAGTATGTAAATATTTGTTAACTTATTTAAAAAAAGATAAAATTGACCAATCCAATCAACCAATTCTGACCGGTTTACTAGAAACCAATTCACTAAAAGAAATCTAACCGTTTAGTTGACCGATTTTAGATTCCACAACAAGTTTGTCCCAGTTTTCAAAACAATAGTTGTTGTATTATTTTATTTTTATTTTTTAAATTTTGTTAACCTCTATGTTTGTATTTTTATTTTCTTATCAACCAATATAGTTATAATCAAATTAAATAATAATTTTTTAAATGTATTTGTTATTTAATTAAAAATAATTTAAAATATAGAAAACATTGTATAATAATTTTACTTTTTGTCTCAAAACTAAATTTTTACTATAAAAGATTGTTATATACTCACGATATAAAAATTGCAACAAAAAATAGTAAAGGACAATTTTTGCAACATTTGGGACCAAATTTGCAACACAGTCAATCTTATGGGACTAAAGTTTAATTTTTCCTTTTCAACCAAACGACCTAACTGCCACGTAACTCGCGTGTAACACCCTCGTTAATGTTGACGGCTTTGGGACAACTTTCGCAATGAAAAAAGAAAAAGTTAAAGACTGAATTTCAATCTAGTAGGACGTACTAATTTTGCAACGGGCCTAATCCTACGGGACTAAATTTACAATTTCTTCGAAGAGAATCACTAGAGAATTTATGGAAGGAGGGAGACCGTGACAGAGAGTGGGACTAGGGTTTGATGTCGTTGATCATTATTGAAATTAGACAACTAGACGAGCATAATTCTATGTTCGAGCTCGGATCAGATGCTAAACAAACGAGTTGTTATCGAACACGAACGATCTCGAACAAGCTTTGTTCGCAAACATTCAGTTCCATAACATCAATATAACTAGTATGTGGCCAGTGCGATGCACGGGAAAACAATATTATGATTATATTATAAATTAAATATATAAATAACACTAATCATGATTCACCCTTGTTTTTAAATTAAACCGGGTTGGACACAGTCTGACTGGATGGACCGAGAACCGCTTTATAACAAGTCTAGTTCGCTTGAATAAAATCTTTGTTATCGAATCCGTCAACACCAATTGGTTGGATTGGTAGAATCGATACGATTTTCTAAATAAATTTTGTTACATTTGAAATTATTTTAAATAAAAGTATATATTTAAATAAAAGAGAAATTTATAAAAATTTTATCAATTAGTTTAAACATTTGAATTTTAAAATTGTTTAGATATTTAAATAACACATTTTATTTGAACTTATTACAAAAAGTACTCTATATATATTAAAATGTTTATAAATTAGAATCTGATTAAACCAAAAATGATTTAATAAAATAACTTGATCGTATAAATATTAATCATTAAACATGTTGTCATAAAATTATTGTTAATATGATTATTTGAAGTTTGGACAATTGGACTACATCACATTCACGTAATAAAGTATTTTCAATATTAAAATTTATATTTAAGTTCAATTATCGATTTGGTATGGTCAAACTGATACATAACTTAGTCACCTGGACCATCCAAGTTGTATCAATTTTTTTTTTTACTATTTAAATACCACCTAAATGTATTTCAATCAACATGGACATTATCATAATTCAATCACCCGATTGATCCAAAGAAATTTTCTTATTTTATTTAAATATATTTAATTCATGAAATAAAAATATTTTATGAATTCATATAATAAATGTCTAAACCAACTGATAGTATATTAGGATTATAAATTATATATCTAATGATGATATAATTATTTTTACTTTATGTGTATTAATAAAAAATAAACATAGTAATTTTCAAAAAATTAAGATTAATTGATAGATTATAAAATTTAAAGAATAATTTAAGCGTTCAATTTTTTATTTTTATTTTTGAAAGGACACAAATATAAATACCGAGATTCTAAAACTTTTGTTATGTTTCGAATTGATATTTTTTAAATATAGAGACCGAGATTTTAATGTTGTTCGTTGTTTCTACGAAAAAAAATAAAAATAAAAATGTGCACACTTAACAGATCTTAGTTGGATTTTTTAAATAATAAAATAGACTAAAACTCGAAATTTAAGGTAGCATTTAATACTGTATGATTTTTTAAAGAAAAAAATAAGGAAAATAATAAAAGTTACTATTTGTAAATTATGTATTATATTGAAAAAAAAATTGAATTATAAAATTATACTTGTAAGTTTTATGCATTTTTATTTATTGAAACTATGAGCATTATACTCGACTATACATTAATTATAGATGTATCCTAAATTCTCTAAATTACGGATGTATACAAAAAGAAAAATAAAAGAAAAAAAAAACACAATGCTATAATTTTGGAAACATGTGTGAGATTTGTGAAGCTATTATTACGTTTTTTTGTTTTCCAAATCCACAGTTGTAGGCTGCATTTAATGCTTGCCAATTTGATGTTTAAAAAAATTCAAAAAAATTCCAAAAATGGCATGCAATTAATATTGTTAGATATTTTTACTTACTATTTTTGGTAAATGGTAATTCTTATTATATATATATATATATACTCACTTTATCCAACAAATCTAATCAAATTCAAAATAAACTATATCCAATAATTTATATAAAAAAAATCATATAAAGAACAAAAGGAACAACAAAACAATAGACGGCACAAAATTGGATCTTTCCCTAGTTTTCACAAAACCATGTCAAAACTGTGAAATATATATTAATAAAGGTTATCCTTATTTTTCTCGTTCAAAGAGGAGATGTCCAAGATATTTTGGTTGGAATTCTACTGGAAAAATCATTCCAACACAATATTTTCGTTGGAATTTCCATTGGAATCATTTCAACGAAAGCTATACCATTAGAATATCCGTTAGAATATATTATCGTAGAATTTTCCATTGAATATAACATTTTCTTGTAGTGTAGCCATGTGGTAGGGTTTGAGGAGCTGAGTGGCTACGTGGCCAAATCCCAGCCAAGTGGCCAAGTTTTGGGCCACTTGGGCCGTTGAATTTTTCTTCAACTGGGCCAAATTCTCTGACGTAGCCCAGTGCCCTCCGACGACAGTCACTGAGCCCGCTAGCACACGGTCGGGCCTCACATGCATCAGTTCTAGGCCTCACGGGCCCTCCTCCGCTCGGCCTGACGGATCCTTTGCAGCAGGCTTCCTCTGGCCCAGTCAGAATTTTCTGGTTAACAAGTATTAATTGGCCTTTTCTTTTTCTGCCTCATTACCTTTGGTTCCTTGGGCCAATATGCTGGGCTCATAACACTTTTGGCCCAACCTAACCCTCTAGTCAACTACTTTGATTTGTTGCCAAACTAATATTTTTACACTATTAAATACAAGTTTTGATTTTGATATAGTGATAATACAAATGCACGAGCGTTGGACATAACACTACTTTTATTTCATAACTCTCGAGATTTAAACAAGAACATAGCAAATACAAGATGAAAATGAAATTGTGAAATATTAATGCAAAGAGATCTTAACAGTAAAAAGTGATATAACAACCACGTGGTATATATAGATGTATAAGAAGATCACGAATGCAGAAAAGTATGACCAAAATCGAATTGGCTACTTTTAGACTCTAGCATGTGAGTCCAGATCGTAGGCCCTTTGGGCACGTGATTGCTTCCCCGCTAGCCAGTGCCCGCTGCAAGACTGTGCTCGATTGGCTCGAACGTTCATTTGAGCATGACCGCTTTCGAGTCCAACTAATTCCGAGCTACTTATACCTAACATTTTCCACATTTTGCCTATTTCTTACTTAGAATTAATTTCTTATTTGACCCTCCTCAATTTATTTTTACTTTTTATGAGTCTTCCATTTATAAATTTAAAAAATAAAATCATAAAATCAATACAAAATATTTTTTTTTTCTTACCGTTTCAATTATATATGTAACATTTTGTGA